GCGGAGATCGTGCGTGTCGAGTGCGCGAAATGCAGGCGAGAGTGCGAGTGAGTCTGTACGCGCGCAACCCTCTGCGGAGATCGGGCGTGTCGGGCGCGAAGTGCAGGCGACTTTGTAGTACAACTTTAGTACGCGGAGTGTCTGACGAGTTGGAAGATGAGAACTGGTGACTTTGTAGTACAACTTTAGTACGCGGACTAGCTGGGGAGCTGGAAGATGAGAACTGGCGACTTTGTAGTACAACTGTAGTACGCGGAGCAATCCGTGGAGCTGGAAGCTGAGAACTGGTGACTTTGTAGTGCAACTTTAGTACGCGGAGTAGCTGGGGAGCTGGAAGCTACGCGGAGCAATCTGTGGAGCTGGAAGCTGAGAACTGGCGACTTTGTAGTACAACTTTAGTACGCGGAGCAGCCGGGGGAGCTGGAAGATGAGAACTGGCGACTTGGTAGTACAACGTTAGTACGCGGAGTAGCTGGGGAGTGGGAAGATGAGAACTGGCAACTTTGTAGTACAACTTTAGTACGCGGAGGTGACTTGCGAGAGGTGAAGAACTTGCAGAAAACAGGTGTTCCTGCGCTTCAGAAAGACATACAGAGAGAGAGACACATACACACACAGACACAGACACACACACAGAGACCCACACACTGCCTCAACACACTCGACTTAACACTTCACACTGAACACTTAACAGATAACTCGCACTCTGACTTCCTACGTGATGAAAAATGCTTTCGGGCCACTCGTCGTCTAGTTTGAGATGTTTTCTTTTTTGGCCTTGTTTTGGACTCTTTTGTTGCTGTCTTCTTTCTGTAGATATTATGTATATCACGAAAGCCAGCCGATAGGCTAGGCTTGAGGTAGGGGAGCGAACGAAGTGAGTTAAAGGGGGTGTGTGGGGGTGGTCGCGAGGCGGCCAATTTCGGAGAGGCAGAGCCTGGCGGGGAAGAGCGAAAAAACGAGGAGGCCCGGAGGTAGTGAAAAACGCGTGGTTTTAGGGGTGTTGTGATGCAAGTGATGTAATTGACGGCAAAGAGTGCCATGGAAAGAGAACAGATTGTAGTTGCGGCCAAGCTTAGCGTTGCTGCCGGACTGAAGAGGGCACTCCCTATGCGGTGGGAGTCGGATTGGGTGGTTGTTGAGGGCAGGAGAGAGAAGAGATTGCAGCGGG